TTGGCAAGACACTTAACCTCTGGGAACACCAGCCACAGTGGGGCGGCTGCGGCTGTAAAGTGCCAAACTGCCGTTGTGTCCTTAGGCAAGACACTTCACCCCCATTGCCTAGAATGAGTCTGGTGTGTGTGTGAATGGTTGGTGGTGGTCGGAGGGGCCGATGGCGCATACTGGTTGCCTCGCTTCTGTCAGTGTGCCCCAGGGCAGCTGTGGCTACAGCAGTAGTTTATCACCACCGTGTATGGAGTGAATGAATAATGACACATGTGAAGCGTCTTTGAGTGTCCAGAAAAGCGCTATATAAAACCGATGCATTATTATTATTATTATTAAATTGACTTCCTGGCCTTAAATATTGATATGAAATAAGTCATTTTATAAATTCTATTATTACAGGTAAGTCCCGCCTCCCTTCTCTTAGCTATAGCTCAGAATCATGGATCTATAATAATAACTGGATAGGGTAATACTAGCTTAAAGCTGTCCCACCCATGGGCACAGGGGGCGCCCGTGGTACTGTAGACTAAATTCACGAGGGCTACCCAGAAAAAAAATCCCTTAGAACTCAATGTAAATTAAAACAGCTCGACCTCCGCTGACAGAGAGCCTACAGCTTTCATAAATATCGGATTTTGTGGGGATTTTAGTGTCCCTTGTCAACCTGAACTTTTTCTCTTCTTAAATCCGTCGGTTTCCTTTAAATCCACACTTTACTGCCACAAATTCTGCTCCCTGCCTTCCCGCTCTGGCTCTGCTCTGATGCTGCTCTGATGATCAGCTCTGATTGGTCAGAGCGCGGCCGAGCCCCTCTGTGCGCGTGCATGAAAGCCACACACGCACTTTTAGCGCGACGCATTATGGAAGATATCTCCCATAATGCGTTGCGCTAATCCACTGCGCAGAACCGGGAGGACCAGACGATGCCCAAATATAGGCGAGTTCTGCTAATCTCCCGGTCTCCGTGAAGTCACATGCGCTACTGAGCACAAGCCATTCATTTGAATAGGGCGCCATCTTGGATCACAAGGGCTTGCTCAGAATCCACAATGCCGTCCACGTTGACCAATCAAGTGATGCCAAGTGCTGTCAATCATCGGCGCCGATGCTTGTAGCTGCGCAAATGCTCAGTTGTTTGTTTTCGCGGAGCCTCCGATTCTGAAGGCTCAGGAACTTCATGAAAACTTAACAAAGAATTCTGAACATCCACGCTGAGTTACCCATGTATATACTAAACCTATATCCATAATCAGATCCTCTGCAGATGTGTCCTATAATGTTCAATCAACGTTTATAGATAATTCCGGGTTTACCGCGATCGCTCTGTGCATGTGTATTCATAATGTATAAGTATAATGTGTTCTCAGATTAACATTTATATGTGTTACGGAAACGTAGGCATAGACCAATCAGAAAGAAAGGGGGAGGGAGCTTGGGTGGTTTTTTTCAAATCCTGTACCTCTCTCTCTTTTTTCTGACAAACTCCAGACAATCACTTTAAGTGATCCTGTTTACAACACAACGCTGCAGTGTTGCCAGGTTGGGTGGTTTCCCTCACACTTTTTTCAAAGAGACTTGTAGGTAATAAATAAACAGAAAGACAATAAACAGAACCATGATAGCCATAATAGCCTCGGGTTTTGGGTTGGAATATCTTGCAGGCATTTGGCAACCCATGGGAGCCGTGTGCTTCGATGTGAGTGGTTGAAGGAAGACGTCATTCAAGATAACGGACAAGTGGTTTATCCAATTACACACAAGGATTTGTTTTACAAGGCCCCGCCCTCTGAAATCCAACCGTTATGGCTCAGGCCCAGACCTATGTGAGAAGCGCAACTATCTAGTGCTCTGGGGTCTGAAGAAGATGACATAATCTGGGATTGTGTCTTTAATTCAGACAGAAGACATGTTTTATTGTCAATGGTAGAGACAGCACGAACAACAGAATGCAAGTGTATTATACAGAGCGGAGGCATGGAGACCTCCAATCAGCAGCTGCCACAGTGCCAGCAAAGATAGTCAAAACATGAAGTGGAAAGGTACAGGCTTCTGCACATTGATAGAATGATGAGTTTAACTTTAACAAAAGTTGCTTAAAAGTGTTATGAAATCTCTACAGGTCTCAGCACCAAATAAGGATTTTACAGAATGCAATAAATGTCATTCTTGCAAATGATGTCAGCACAGTCTTATGTGCTATTTATATAGTGATAGATGACTTGCCAACCGATAAATACAATTCTAAAAACCCGTTTTTGTATATTTGAGTCCCTCGCATGGTACTGGAAAATGGCACCTTGGCAAGAGCTCTGGTGTGTGCCGTCTTCTCTGTCTGGTGCACTCTGGGGAAGTCTTGCACAGTTTTTCCAATGTGGTTTTACTGCAAATGGCAAATAAATTCTTGAATCTCCATCCTGAAGCATTAATAGTATGAACCATTACAAAGCTAAAACTTAAATACAATCAACATACATATGTGAAATATAAAAATATGTGCGCCTGATGTTGGTCTCTTTGTATTTGTGTTAATGGTGTCGTATAAGCCTATGTGGACCGGGCATCCTTGTATACAAGACACTATAATAAAAATTATCCATCTATCTTGATTTGATGTGTTTTTATATTTCAAACCTCGCAATTAAGATACGTAAAGTGTTTTCATAATAGAATGATAGAATAAAGCAACACAGATAGATGATCAATAACAGTAGGAACATGGATATTTCATGACACTTTGAAGCAACTACGGTTAAAGTTCGAACTCTTCATTCTTACATATGCAGAAGCCAGTACTTTTCCACTTGATGTTTTGGTTATCTCCTCAAGGTTGAAGCTACAAGCACACTGTGGCAGCTGCTGATTGGAGGACTTAATTCCTCCATGCTATATTATAACTTGCAGTCTGTAACATCTTTTGTTCGTGCTCTTGTTTGTGCTCTACCATCAACAATAAAACATGTCTTCTGTCTGAAATAGAGACACAATCCCAGACTTTGTCATCTTCTTCAATAGGAAGCACAAAAAAAAAATTTAAGAAATAAATGCAAACAGAGACAGTTTGATCTGTAGATTCTTTGATTTATCACTCTCAAAGTGTTGATGTTGCATATTAGGCGTAAAAGACGTTTCCCAAAATTACAAAACAAATATTATGCATGAGAAGAGCATTCAACTATTGAGAGGAATGCTGTTTTATTTTCCAAGTAAAATAGCACAATCTAATTCAGCGTATCAATGTACAATATTTCCACAGCCTTTCTTCAGCCGACATGACTTGTATTTGCGCGTTGCTTTTTGGCCGAGGCTCAGACCACACTGACCCCAAATCCCTCTCTTCGTTTAACCACTCACTCATCCGCTGATTCGCCCGGACAGTGCACAACATGAGATATGACAAGAGAAAATCTGGAAACGACTAATCACGGAGCTCAGCAGGGTCACGTTCAAAGACACGGCATGGGAGTGACCGTAATACCTTTCTGAATTGTTTTGGGGGATAACCGCGTCCGTCTGGTGGCCCCTCGTATAGATCCTTTTACGCCACAAACAGAGGTAATCAAGGGTGAAAGCTGGAGGGATTTCAAAGACCACTGTAATGGTATGGGAATGCATGTAATATCTTCGGCCACACAAAGCTGCTGCTGATCAAACAGAATGTTGCCTGAGAGTCGACTTAAATAGGGCCACATTTGACAGAGCGTCTTTTGTTTCCCTTTTTTATGAGTGGAAAGAAAAATGCAGCTGATATATAGTAAAGGGTTATTATAAGGTCTGAAGGGTAATGGCTTTGTGTTTAATAAGAGCTCCTATAGGTGCCTCCTAATGAAAAATTTTATAAAAATCCATGTACGGTTTGGTTTTAACACTGGTTTTCACATGTATGCATCTTTTGGGTAATATTTTTTCAGAAAGAGAAGTTAAAGAATTTAGAACCAATGCGTCAAAAAGTGACTCATATGGCCCTTGTTGTTACTCACATGATTTTACTTTCTGTTGGAACAAACTGAATATTATTTAGGAATTGAAAATAGTTTCACACCCCAGCTTTCAACATAATTGACATGTTCCCAATATTTCAGCAGTCAAAGTGAACAATTAGGGCTTTTGTTCATTCTTCAAACTTACAAAATAAACATAATCTTTGTGAATTATAATGAATGAAGGGATAATCTTAATCTAATGTATATATGTAATCTATGTATACATGTGTATACTTAGTACAATTTTAGTAAGATTGATTTACTATTTTAAAGTGCAAGGTTTTTTGTTGTTGCTTGATTTTAGTTTGTCATGTAAGATCACTTTACTAGTTTTAAGATGATAATACTTCATAATCTTATTAGAAAAAAAATTCTGAGCAGTAAGTTTTTAAAAATTAATTAACTTTTCTTAGTGTTTAGACAAAATAAATATGTTATGCTATATTTTAATACATAGAATACATATCTCAAAGATGTGTAAATAAGTAAATAAGTCATATTTTTAATAGGTTATATTTTGTTCTTATTTTAGGCATATTTTGCTTATGTTCATATACAGTATTTTGTTCTTATTTTAAGCAGTACTTTACTTATTTTCGTAAATTTTCTTCTTATTTTTTTCAAGAGATTTTTTTCAGTGTGCATGTATGTCCTGGTTCTACAGCCAAACAAAGAGCTGAGTAAAATAATAGCAAAAAGACTCGTTTCTATGTTTGTAAGCTGCTTTTGAAAAGGTAACATGGTGTGAAATAGTTTGTGAGGTCAACAGATTGAGTGGCCAGTGTCCGCCGCTGCAGGGCATGGATCATTTCCCGACTGTGGAAATTGAGTCAGACTGTGTCCTGCCCTGGCTTATGACTGGCTGAGACGATCGCCCATCCCAGCAGCAAAACTCCATCTGGGCTAAATATTTATACTGAGGGAGACGACATCACTGATCCACAACACGAGAGACAGGGGCGCACCAACTTCACAGTCTGACTTTAGGACTTATCTGCTGTTTTTTCTCCTTTACAATCTACAATGGGCTCACATCTCTTTGCGTTTGCTTTGCTTCTCACTTTACACCAGATTGAGAGGAATCCAGCTCATGGTGAGTATGATTTCATTTGAGTTGTTGATTGTTACAAACTTCATTTTATTTCCAGCCATTTTAACCAAGTTTTGAAGTACAGTATCAAGCTGGTTATTTCATGTTTTTGTTTGTATTCAGCGGGGATGTGTTGGCTGCAGCAGGGCCCAGAGCTCAGATGTGACATGGTGCTGATGAGAGGAGTGACCCGCGACGAGTGCTGCTCCGGGGGAAGACTGGACACTGCCTGGTCCAACAGCAGCCTCCCCATGAATGAGATCAGCCTCCTGGGATTCCTGGGCATTGTCTCCTGCAAACCCTGCAAAGGTAAACGTGTGGACACAATTCAGCAATCATTTTGACAATAATTAGATACCTTTTTTCAAGTCAAATCCAGGTGCTTTTCAACAAAACCACCTGATGACATTGATCATCTTTGTGAATCAGTGCATATAGTTTATACATCACAAATGCAAGTACGTGACCTATGACATGCTCACAACAAACCATATTTTCTTCAAACAGTTTGTAGCCTTGTATTCAAGACAACAAGATGATACAATTTGCTGGCTATGGAAAAATGCTTGCCACGTGGTGTCTAGACGCCAGAGTTGCTTGGAATTCTGTGGGAGTAAAGTGTTGGCATTTTGAATGTGTTGTTATTAACAACAGTGTGTTGCCAGTGCAGGCACAGACACCTGCCATATTAGAAAAACATTGGTTGACAGATTCAGAGGAGCAGGGCATAACTGCTGCACTTGTACAAACAAGACCTAAGCTCCCCATTGTATTTAGATGTAGTGAAGTTGGTATGGCTGTGACTGGTATCCTGAGCCTGAAGTCCTGGGAAGAGTGTGTCCATGTCTTCTGCTGTGGAGCAGTGCATGAAGTTACACTCCCCTGAGCTTAGCACATGTTACAGGAGATGGGAGCTTCACCTTAGACACTGCTCACAGCTTGGGAATTTCTCTGTCTGCATGAACCCAGCCTGTCTGTATGGAGCTGTGCACATAGATCTGTTATGAAAACATGCCAGTTCACATTCCAGCAGGCGAGACACCCCTCTGTGTGACGATCAATAAAGGGATGTGATGATAGCAAATATTGTGCAAGAAGAAATCTGTCTTTCAGTCTGGGAAAGCCCCACATCTGATGCTTGTTTTGGATAAAAAGGCCTTTTCAAGGTCTCCTGATGTCTGCAACCAGTTACATGATCCGACAGTGACACTCACTTGTGAAATGTGTTTTTGTAGAGAACTGTGAGGGAGTGAACTGTGGCCCAGGGAAGGTCTGTAAAATGAAGATGGGCAGGCCTCAGTGCCTGTGCGCCCCGGACTGCTCCCACCTGCCACTCAAACACTCGGTGTGTGGCAGCGATGGACGCACTTATATGGATGAGTGTGTTCTGCTCATGGCTCGCTGTATGGGACATCCAGACCTGGAGGTCATGTACCAGGGGGAGTGCAAGAGTAAGACTGATGATGATGATGATTACACATTATTCTACTGTGTTCGGTTTAACTTTGTGTACACAAAACTCACTTATGGATCCACGTGTGCTTCACAGAGTCATGCACTAAAGTGGTGTGTCCTGGGACCCATACGTGTGTGACTGACCAGACCAACAGCGCTCACTGCGTCATGTGCCGCACCGCCCCCTGCCCCATCCCCATGACGACTGAGCAGCCTATCTGTGGCAATGACAACATCACGTACCCCAGTGCCTGCCACCTTCGCCGGGCCACCTGCTTCATGGGCCGCTCCATAGGAGTGCGCCACTACGGACACTGCAACAGTAAGCCACATGTCTGTCATGTGTCCTGTGCACAATCACTGACTACTCTGCTTCTCTTTCAGATCCTCCCCGGAAGTCTCCAAACTATGATGGCAGTGAGGAGAACGCTGTTTAGACAGACCAGACTAATCTCACACTAACAGAGATATTTGGCAGAACCACCGTTTGAGACATTAGCTTTGACACCTCAAGGAGTTACTTCATTTCTAAATGTGTATATTGTACATAAACTATACTATTTATTTATGGTTTGGAGGGTTTGTATTTATGGTTTTATTTTGCTAGTTTAAATGTTCATTATTTTGGTAAACCTATTGTTAAAGTGTATTTATTGTAGGATCTTTGTATTATTGTGATGACAGTTGTGGTCACAAATGTTACCTTTAACAGAAATGTAACTGTTCCGTCTCCACTCACTCACAAAGAGGATGTGGTTCTGTGGTTGGATGCACCACGAGCAGCAACAGGACAAGCAGAAAGTACCTGATCACACATCGCCCTGAACACCAGCACCTGCTGCTTACTCAAATTCACAGTTTCATCGGAAATGTTCATTTCTAAATACTAATCTTTCTTAAACTTTATGTTTTTGGGGGTTTTCACTCTACCATTGTTCTGCTGTTTGGATTGTATCAAATCAATTAATTTTAATACAGCCTACAATCGCAGCAGCAATCTTCCAAGTATTATCCAATAGCAGAATAGTAAATCCAACAATTAAAAAAGTCATTGGTGCAGACAGATGGATACATCAATATTAATAGAAAAATGTAGCAAATAGATGAATGTCCAGGATCATCCCCTTTCCTTCTTCAGCAAGAATAAACTCATAAAATCCCATTGTGAAAACCAGCATATTCTCTGGGGGAACTGCAGTCAAAGTGTCGTCTGTCTGTCAAATGAATAATTGTCCACAAGGCTGCTGTTCTAAATGAGTTTATAGATTTTACTACGACTAGAGGCCAATCTTTGGATATCTGATAATGCTGTAGATATGCTTTCCTAAGAGCAGTGGTTCAATCTTAAAATTCTGTTGTAAAAACAATTAAAATGTGTGTATTTCTGCTTTGACTGTGAACAAATGACACATACTTTTTGTACTGCCTTTTGAAAAATTACATAAAGATTAATATTTCCCCACACATTTTCCTCGTGCTGTGTTTCATGACCTCTGCAACATTTGTCATTTTCCTCACAAGTGCACACAGTGTTCTAGTCTAAACAATATTTGACGTTGAACTTGTTGAACTATTTCATCTCATATTTGGTAATGTTTGGATTCTTATAAAGTGTGTCACAGCCTTAATCACAGCCTCCCCCATCCAGATGTGGGCTGATGCCAGGGCCGTGGGCAGCTCCTGAGCTCTGCAGTGTTGCGTGCAGGGCCCAAACAGCCCTTCACACACACCTCTTTAAAAGCTTATAAAAGACTCACACAATCAAGTCCACCTTGGACAGATTACTGAGTCTTCTTTGGGATGTCACCGCTGCACAGAGCGAGGGGCGCAGACAGACTATTGTGGAGTTACTCTTTTCAAACAGAGGCCTCCAACACCTCTCTGTGCAACACCTCCATTCCTTTGTAACCGCATCTGGTTTAGCTTCAGGCTCTGTTTATATTCTTGTTTAGGTATGTATTTATTCAAAGTGAATAGTAGGTTTCAATTGTAGGAACAGGGCAAATAATTAGGCCACCAGCAAGATTATTATCCACAACAGTCTTAAATTGGAAAGTGGTTTGGAAGGAACATTATTGAAGAATGTGTTCGAGGGTAAGTGAGTTTTTGCCCTATCAGAAACAGGAAAAAAGATTTTTTTATGTAGTGGAGCATTAAGAGTTTCTTCCCAGTTACATGAAAAAAATTGTTCTCTCCAGATACAGCGATAGTATTTTAGAGTGGTGTTGTTGGCCTAACTTGTGTTCCCCAAACATTCACAGAGGAATGCACAATTACATAGTTTACACTATTGTGTACCAACCAAAGTGACATTGTTTGGTCAATCCTACTCTAAAATGAATGCATTTCAGCCAACAGCCATTCTAAAGGTTTTACTTTAAAGGGCCCATATCACGGTTTTTGACTTTTCTCTGCTTTAAACATGATTACAATGCTATTTGGCCTTCATACACAAGCCCACAGTAGTTTATTCATTGATTCTGTCAATCTTTTGTAAAAGAGCAATCTGTCTCCTTCCCCAGCGTGAGGCACAGAAACGCTCGGGTCCACTTCAGTGACAAAAACCACACTGATGACGCGCATGACGCGCATGACCCCGTTTGCTTTGTATTTAAAATAGTTGTTAAATACTTTTGTCAAAACAGGGTAAACAATACACAATTAGTATTGTTTACTAATTAACATACAGCTAATATTAGCTGTTTTTTGTCAAAAATAATAAAAATAAAAATAAATTAAAAGCCGGCGGGAGGTGATTGACGGATAAAAACAGCGAATCAGAGCGCACAGGCTCCGGCTCCCGAGTCCAGCGTCTGTGGTCTGGTCTCGCGGACACCACATAGAGCTGCTGTTTTTATGCTTTTGTCAGCGCCTAAAAGTGTTAGGATCACGTCAACTTGAATGAAGTGTGTTATGGGTGTAAATATGTGACACACTATTTGGCCCTAAGAGGAAGAAAGCGGCTCGACTTTTTTCATCTGTTCATCTCATGGATCTATTATAAACCGGTTCATCTGCGACACTTCACTGAGACTGTTCCAGAACTACAGGGACAATGGAACTGGACTTACGCAAAAGCTGATCTGGAAACACGTTATTCCCACGGTAAAGACGTAACTCGGACCCCCCGATCTGTAAGTAGTGACGCTAACTCGCTGTATACTTCTGTAAACTAAATAACTAGGGTCTGATTGTGCATCGAGGACATAGGGCTCGATGTGACGGATTGTCATTGTTGGAAAAAGTTTATTCTTATGTATGAAATTACTAAGTACAGGTGATAAACGACAAAAGCGTGATGCTACGTCACCGGGCGGGCGGGGGGAGGCGGGCTCACAGACAGAGGAGCAGACTCTTCTCTGGATCAGCTCGTTTGAGTCGAGGTGACGTCACCTCCTATACAAGAGATGGCTCTAATATCACAAGCTTTGATTGTTGTGGTGTATCATACACATTAATATCACACATGTGTATAGGATTAAGTGTGAAACATGAAGAAAAGCGTGATATAGGACCTTTAAATACTGTGAGAATACTGTAAATATCATCTGGCTGAGTAGTATATGCCTCCTAATTACTACGGTACATTGAAATGTAAATAATAGATAAGAATTTTATATAAACTAAACCTTTCAGTTTGCTCATTCAGAAATACTTACCCAAAAATACTGCCTTGGCCAAACAACCCAACTCATGTTCATTATTTCTTTTACCTGAGAACAGAACTTGACTCTGAGAAAGTGAGGCAGGTGTAAAGTCTTCTCTGTATTCTATTTGGCACAAGTCTGTTTGGATGAGGTGCACTGATGTCAGAGATGATACCTTAGTGGTACAACCGTAACCACAGAAATACTATGAGTTATTTCACTGTTATTCTAATTACACACCTCAAGAATGCAATCCCACACTCCTCCATGGGTGAGGTGGATTGTTATTGGCTGCGCAGCCGATGAGGTGTCAAATCCACGCGTTATGTGTCCATGAGTGTTCTGCTGAGGGCTGCTCCTTCCGTTTTACCTGCTGTGCCCATCAAAACCATCAGGGCCATTACATCATCCCCCAGGAGTACCTTGTTTACTGTTTTTGTCTTACTACAAAAGCCTGTGACGCCCACACTGACAGTTAGAGAGGCGTATCCTTCTCTAATATATCAAGCATCTTTCCCAACATTCTCCACATGGTATTGTTTCCGCTGGGTTTCCAGTAAGTTAACATCAACGTCACGGTTTCTGATGATTTTGTGATGAAGTCTGAGACCACCCACTCCAACTGCACCACTACATTGTAAACTCTGCGTCTCAGAGCTGAGGATAATAAATAAGTCATCCATCAATCCATGATTGGTTGTGGATCTATGAATTACTTTAAAAGCCGACCATACGTTTGATGATTGGAAATGGGAAAATAAGTGCTGTCGACGCGTAAGGGAACAGCTGACTGACAGATGATAGGGCTCGTTCAGTTTCGATACACCCAATTGTCAGCACTTTGTGGCCCTGGTCTGTGAACAGCACCATAAACACCTTTATTTAATGAGAAACAAAATGTTCAGAAGTATTCCACGGCATCTGCATTCATATTTTATACATTGGAATTACAGTTAAAATGAGAAGGAACGTAGATTGAGAACTTTGCATTTAGCCTGTTTTCATTCTACTGCAAATCCTGGGCTGGAGAGGAAAAAAAGTTTCATTAACAAAAAAATTAATCATTTATAACAGTGATTCCATTATTTGTTTATAACAGTGATATGAACACATAAGGAATTGTTACTCTGGACTCCTTACTAATGTGTAATATAACTTTCCTGTCAAACAAATGTAATAGATTGGAATTTAAAACATAAAATAATATAATAGCCCAATGAGTTTGCACCTTCTCCTACAAACCAAAGTCAAGTAAAAAGTTCAAAAGAGATACATTTATTATCAGCAGAAAATGTAGTACTAAGAAAGGCGAAAGGCAGGTTTACAGGCTCACATTGAATTGAAAAAGGTAACAAGGCAACCTGTATTTTTGTGTCTATATTTTGTCAAGTATAAAAAGGAAGAAAACACACATTTGACTAGTTTGTGGAGACAAATTACAGCAAAAAATGAGAAGATGGTTTTAAACATGTGGATTATGGGATTATTATCGGTCATTTCAGTTTGATTCATCATTGATTGAATGAAATTCTTCTGACTTTATGATTTGTCGGCGGAAGACATCATGGGATCTTGCGGCATCATCATGGGATCTTGCGGCATCATCATGTTGGATTGCGGCATCATCATGTTGGATTGCGGCATCATCATGTTGGATTGCGGCATCATCATGGGATCTTGCGGCATCATCATGTTGGATTGCGGCATCATCATGTTGGATTGCGGCATCATCATGTTGGATTGCGACATCATCATGGGGGCTGGCTGCATTTGGACTACATTCTGGACGTTTACGATGGTTGGAACTTTGCTCCTCCGTTTTAACTCGCGATGCATCTGACACCATGAGCACCATGAGCAGCACCAGGAAATACAGATGTCTTTCACCACAGAGCCCTGAGAGAAATTAAGATTGAACATTAAAGAAAATAATTTAAAAATGCACTGGGTAAGGAAAAATACCGTTGCAAAGACATGTTTTCAAAAAAAAATATGAATTTGTGAGTGTTTTTACCATGGTGTAAGCATGTAAGCTTAGATTGTAACAAATTAACATAAAACAAATGTTTAGGAATTCACAAACACACACAAACTGCAAGTATAGGCTTACAGAGTATATATAATGATCAATTCCACATAATTTCGAAATTTTTGTGGTGAATTTAGACTTTTTTATGAATTAAAAAAGGCAATTTATACACAAGGCAACTCAAAGTGCTGAACAGAATTATATAAAAACAATCTCACAAGGCATGAAAATCATAAATAATCACAGAACATTAAAAAGAGTAAAGATAAAATCCTTCAATTGTATGCAGATCTAAACTGACTTGTTTTTAACCTGGATTTCAACAATGAATCTGAAATGCAGCCTCCCCATGTTTAGTTCTGACTCTGGGCACTAACAGGAGTCCAGACCCTGTGCTCCTCAGACTCCGGGCTGGTTCATATGGGACTAACATGTCACTAATATATTTTGGTTCAAGGCCATGGAGAGACTTGTACACAAGCAGAGCTGTTTTAAAGTCCACTCTCTAAGCCACAGGAAGCCAGTGCAGAGACCTGAGGACTGGACTAATGTGATCATGTTTCTTGGTTCTAGTCAGGACTCATGCTGCAGCATTATGAATGCACTGCAGCTGTTTTACAGCCTGTTTGGAGAGAGCAGCTGTACATGGATAATAATCTACAAGTCGGCTTTAGACACTGTTTTTTAATCCTGACAAAAAGCTGCTGATGTTACTGATTTGATGTGACTGCTAAAATGTAAGTCTGAGTACAATACAGTTTTTCTTTGTTGCTACAACACAAAACCCAGTACTCTAAACCAAATGACCAATTGCCTAAACACATTTATTAAAACTTCCCCCCACTTCTCACAACCATAAACACAATTCTCCTTCAGACACTGTTCACAAAACACATACCCTTTTTCTCAAAACTCAAAAAACATTGAGCAACAGTCATTGACCACGTCATTGTCCACGGCATGACTATTGTGTCTAATGGATTCTCTATAGAATTTACAGTACCCATGTTTGCATTGAGTTTTGATATAACTGCATTTTCTGCATTATGTAACTATTCCCATGATACGCGCAAATCTATAGTAAAGGCCCAAAACATATTTGAGAATAAAAAAAGTGTTGCTCAAATGCATCCTGGCAGTTGTGAAACTGTAAAAAAGAACAGTCTCACATTCGGAAAATTGTGTTTTCAATTGTTTTGGTGATGTGGTTAATGATGCTCATAGTGTTCACATTTTTGCAGACCATGAGAGGCATTTTGGTGTGATGGGTTGGTTTTGAGAATATGAGAAACTGTTTTGGTGTGATGGGTTGGTTTTGAGAATATGAGAAACTGTTTTGGTGTGATGGGTTGGTTTTGAGAATATGAGTCACTGTTTTGGTGTGATGGGTTGGTTTTGAGAATATGAGTCACTGTTTTGGTGTGATGGGTTGGTTTTGAGAATATGAGTCACTGTTTTGGTGTGATGGGTCAATTTTGAAAAGAGACTGTGTTGTTGTGTGTACGTAGCTTTAGAAAAGAGGTTTGTGTTTAGAGTTTTGAGAAAAGGGTATTGTGAAATGTGTTTAAGCAATAGAGAAAAACTGTATTACCCCCTGGATTTCTGACTTGATTTGAAGATTTTAGGGAGAGAGACTGTAGGTGACAGATGACGCCCTCTCTTCCGTTTTGTCTGTGTTTAGCGGAAGGAAGTTATTTTGCATCCTCTCTTTGATCTGTTGGATGCAGTGGAAGAGTGAGTCCACTGGTCCATGTTCTCCTGCTGTGAGTCAGACATAGATCTGAGTGTCATTTGCGTATTTGTGATAGGACATATTGTTACTGTGTACTAACTGACCTAACGGCAGCATGTAGAGATTGAACAGAAGAGGCCCCATGATCGACCCCTGTGGTACTCCACAGGGCCATATGATCTGAGACAGAGTTTCCAATCTCCACAAACTACATCCTGTCTAAAAGGTTAGACCTAAACTAACCAACACCAACCCAGTCCTCTAGTCTCTGTATGAGAAGCTCATGGTTGACAGTGTCAAAAGCTGCACACAGATCTTTAAGGGATTAAGTTTGAGACGTCATTGTTCAGTTGGATATTGTTTGTTACCTTGACTAGAGCAGTCTCAATTCTAGTGGTGGGGAGTTATTGATAACAAGAAATTAGGTGTTCTGTCTTTTTCAACGACTTTCCCATAAATGGCAGATTTAAGATGAGACGATAGTTGTTAAGATAAGATAAGATAAGCTTTATTTATCTCACAGAGGAGAAATTTACATGTCACATTTGGCATGGATAGAGACACTCAGATTGTGCAAAAGGAGGAAATGTGCAAACATGTTACATGCAGGAGTGCAGGTTTTCACACAGTGATCATTTAAAGTGACTTATTGTACAGTCTGACAGCGGTGGGGATAAAGGCCCTGCGGTAGCGCTCCTTCCTACACTGAGGGTGTCTCAGTCTTCCACTGAAGGAACTCCTCAGCTCCTCTACAGTCCTGTGCAGTGGGTGGGAGGTGTTGTTCATGATGGAGGTGGCTTTGGCTAGCACCCTCCTGTCCCTCACCTCCTCCACAGAGTCCAGGGAGCAGCCCAGAGTGGAGCTGGCCCTCCTAACCAGCTTGTTCAGTCTGTTTCTGTCCCGCTCTGTGCTGCCCGGGGCCCAGCACACGGCAGCGTAGTGTATGGCAGAGGCTACCACAGAGTCATAAAAAGTCCTGAGCAGAGGCCTGCTCACTCCGAAGGACTTCAGCCTCCTCAGAAGAAAGAGGCGACTTTGGCCCTTCTTGCGCAGGGCGTTTGTATTATGGGATCAGTCCAGTTTATTGTTAATGTGAACACACAGGTACTTGAAGCTGTCCACCAGCTCAATGTCCTCCCCCTGGATGTTCAGCAGCGTGTGGGAAAGTGGTTTTCTCCTGAAATCGATGATCATCTCCTTGGTCTTACTGGTGTTCAAGCACAAGTGGTTGCGCTCACACCAGTCGACAAAGTCCTTGATAACCGACCGATATTCCAGTTCGTTCCCCTCAGACACACAGCCCACGATGGCGGAGTCGTCTGAGAACTTCTGGAGGTGACAGCTGTGTGTGTCGTATGTGAAGTCTGAAGTGTAGATGGTGAAGAGTACTGCTCTTTTCTACTAGGGGCCTGATGAGTGCAGTTTTCAGGGCCTTTGGGAATGTTCCAGAATGAAGGGAAATGTTTACTATCTGTGTGAGTGAAGGTAACAGACTGCTCAGAACAGACTTTAGAAATATGCAGCTGACGCGGAGGTTCAGGATGGTAGACTACCTACGTTATCACACCAGGCTTGACCACGCCTTACTCAGCCTGTCTTAATCAACTCCCCGCAGCCGTGTCAATCAAGCCAGCGTTTAAGAGAACAGCAGAGCACAGCTCACCAGTGGACTTCAAGCTGCAATGGGTTGCTCTTCGTCACTTTGTTTACTCACGCTTCGCACATTTTTCATCCTGCATGGTCGCGGCTCCTCTTCCACATCGCATGTTGGGGGCTGCGCGCCATGGTCGCTGTGTCTCCACCGCGGCTCACCGCGGGTGCTCTCCTGCGGACTCGCTGCCGCTCGTCTCTCGCGGCCAGGCGTTGCTCCGCGCACCCCGCCGCTTCCATACCGGGAACGGGACTTCTGTCTGCCTGCCGTTGTCTGCCTGCCGCTGTCCACCCTCCATGCCTCCACTCACGGTACAGTGTCGGTTTCGTTGTTTTCCGCACTACCATGAACTGTACTGAACTGCGGCGTGTCAGTTATTCCCGCCGAATTGGCTCGCAGGCTGTGTTTTTACCCGATGCATTGCTCTTCAGGCTGTTCGTTTTACCATCTGCACTGGCATTTAGACCGTCCGTTTTCACCATGGATCGCACATTTTAACCACTGTGTTGGCCTTCTGGCTGTCCGTTTGACTATGGTCTGAACATTTTACCCACTGCATTGACCTTCAGGCTGTCAGTTGTAACCATGGACTATAACATTTGTCGTCTGCATTGGCCTTCGCTCTGTCTAATTGACCGTGGACTGTAAGTTTTGCCCACTGCATTGCTTCCGGGCTGTCCGTGTCTGATGAGCTGCTCTGATTGGTCGGAGCGCGGCCGAGCCCCTCTGTGCTGTTCGTTTGCCCATTGCTTTGGCCTTACGCCACACTTCAACGCCACACTTCAACGCCACGCTTTGACGCCGCCACGCTTCGACGCCGCCACGCTTCGACGCCGCCACGCTTTGACGCCGCCACGCTTCAACGCCGCCACGCTTCAACGCCGCCACGCTTCGACGCCGCCACGCTTCGACGGCCCCACGCTTCGACGGCGCCACGCTTTGACGACGCCACGCTTCGACGGCCCCACGCTTCGACGACGCCACGCTTCGACGGCCCCACGCTTCGACGACGCCACGTGGGTGGCCGCACGCTTCGACGCCACGTGGGTGGCTTCGACTCCTCCTCCACGCTTCGACTCCTCCTCCACGCTTCGACTCCTCCTCCACGCTTCGACTCCTCCACGCTTCGAATCCTCCACGCTTCGACTCCTCCTCCACGCCGCACGCTTTGACGCCACACGCTTTGACGCCGCATGCTTTGACGCCGCACGCCTCGACGCCGCACGCCTCAACGACGCACGCCTCAACGACGCAGCACGCCTCAACGACGCAGCACGCCTCAACGACGCCGCACGCCTCAACGACGCCGCACGCCTCAACAACGCCTCAACGACGCCGCACGCCTCAACGACGCCGCACGCCTCAACGACGCCGCACGCCTCAACGACGCCTCAACGACGCCTCAACGACGCCGCACGCCTCAGCGACGGCTCAACGACGCCGCACGCCTCAATGACGCCGCACGCCTCAACGACGCCGCACGC